TGTTGCTCAGGCTGGTCTCCAACTCTTGGCCTCAAGTGAACCTCCTGCCTCGGTCTCCCAAATTGCTGGGATTATAGGATTATTTTTACATCATATATTTCTAAAAGATTTTCTATGTAATACTCAATATCAGGTCCCTATATAGAGACCTATGATTCTTAGAATGTTTTTTTCCAGCCTTATATTTTCCCCATTCTCCAGAGAGGGAAGGATTATAATAATTCCACCTGGATGACCTGACATGACCCACGACACAGGAACATCATCATAACAAGGACTCCTTATCTCCGTTCAAATTCACCCTCTAGCCATTGGCATATATCCTTATCAATATTTCCTTCCCACGCTCACAACAACAAACCTGCACTATTGTATTCCTTCACAAAACTGTTTGTTGTGGTTAAAGGCTGATCTTGGGGTAAGATGCATTAATTGCATTGTGTTAGCAAACAATGGACACTGAGCAAATTTAGTGGTAGGTATCATAATTTTATTCTCAGTGACAGCTACTCACTAACATCTAGATCACAATTTAAGTTCACAGCCTTTTGCTGAGACAATGTGCTTAAAATTCACAAGTCCCATTTTTCACTAACTTGGTAATTATATGTAATATGACTTAACTAAGCATATTATTTTTCCCCCTAGCAATTCAAAGCATTGCACAAGTGGAATGTTCCAGCCAACTTAACAAACAAGTGTGACTTAATGAACATGTATTAAACCCATTACATCCAGGCACTATACTTTATATACAGTAAGTCACTGAATCTTTACAACTATCATATGAAATATATACTGTTAGTAAATACTATTTTCCCTGATGAGAAAACTTAAGTTTCATAGGTTAAGAAATTTGCCCAAGGACACAAAGCTAGTACGTGACTGATCCAGCCTTAAAACCCAAGGCTGTCTGATTCCAAGGCACCTAAACATTTTGCAGTGCTGCCCTCCCAACTGCCACTCAGAGTAGCGGGGAAACCAGGGCACGTGGAATATGTGGA